ATAATTTCATTTCTTTTACATTTACATAAGCTTCCTTCATTGGCTTCATTTGCTACTGAGAAGACTGTTGTTGAGAAGAACACTACTCTGTAGATATCTATTAAGTCCATTTGTTTGAAGGTTTTGTTCAATTCTGATATTTCTTTGCTTTTTTTTGTCTAGTTGATCTGTCTATTTGAGATAGTTGGGTATTGAAACCCCATACTATAGTTGTGTCTTTGCTTATCTGGTCTTTTATGTCTAGTAATACTTGTTTTATAAAGTTGAATGTTCCATTGTTTGGTGGATATATGTTAATAATTGTTATTTTTCTGTTGGATTTTTCCCTTAACCAACAGGTAGTGCCTTCACCTCTTTTGATCAATTTTGACTTAAAATCCATTTTGTCTGAATATAGGATAGCAACATCTGCTTTTATTTAAGTTCCTGTTGCATGGAATATTGTTTTCCATCCTTTGATTTTTAGTCTATGTGTTTATTTTTAGATTAAATGTGTTTCTTGTATACACCACACTGTTAGATTTTGTTTCTTGATGCATTCTGCCAGTCTGTGTCTTTTGATTGTGGAATTGAGACCATTTGCATTGAGAGTTCTTACTGATAGGTACTGACTTATTCCTATCATTGCCTTATTTTCCTGTTGCTGATTCTCTCTTTCCCTTCTATTTAACTGCTCACCCTACCTGGTGTATTCATTCTATTAGAACTTTTGTCATTGTTAGCTTGTCTTTTTCTTGGGTATCCTTGAGAATTTTTTGGAGTGCTGGTTTGGTGGTCATAAATTTCTTTAGAGGGCCTTTATTATTAAAGTGTCTTATTTCTCTCAATTTTGGAAGTTTTTGTAGGATATATTAACTTGGTCAGAGATTGTTTTCTTTTAGGGCTTGAAGCTCTTCACTCCAAGGTCTCCTAGCCTTTAAAGATTGTGTTGAAAAGTGTAATCTAATGAGTTTTCCTTTATAAGCAATTCATTGCTTTTCTCTAACCACTTTTAAGATTCTATCCTTATGTTGTACTTCTGGAATTTTGACTCAGATGTGTTACGGAGAAATTTGTTTTTGAATGTGCCTATTTGGGGTTCTATATGCCTCATGTATCTGTGTGTTAAATTCTTTTCTCCTTATTTGGAAAGTTTTCTGCTATTATTTCAGTAAATAACTTTTTTAATGCCATGTGTGTTATCTTCCAATTTTTCACTAGTCATAGTTAATCTTGGATTAGTCTTCTTTGTGATATCCAGGAGCTGCTGGATGCGTTGTTTTTAGGGTATTAATTGGTCACTGACAATAGCCCTGCTTTCTAATTCTTATGCTCTATCCTCACACTGGTCACTTCTGCTGCCCATACTTTCAATAGGATTTTTAATCGCCTGAATTTCTATTTGGAGCCTTTTTGTGACCCTAATTCTTTTCTATACTGGTCATGTATATTTTGCATTGTTTTGTTTAGCTGTTCTATCTTTTCATTAGTGTCTTCTTTAGACTTGCTGATCATTTTATATCACAGTGTCATATTACTTATATCTTCTGTGAGCTGCCACATGCCTTACTTATCTGGTTTTTTTTACTTTCCCCTGATACCATTTCAGATGTTTTGTGTGTGTGGCTTTTGGTGTTCCCCCTTCACTGCTGCATGGATCAGCTTTGGGGGAGATGGGAATTTTTGGAGGCATTTTATTTGGCTTGTCTTCTCATGTTTCCATGTGTGTGTGTGTTTATGCTGAAGCTTGTGGGTTGGTTGTAGTAGAAAGCTTTGTTTCTAGTATGGAGACTTCCTTAGTTAATCCCTACCTTTTGGTGGTATCTGAGCATGGCTAACTATTAGCCTTTGCTTCTGTCCTGGGATCCAACCATTTCCAGTGAACAAGAAAGAAAAGAAAAAAGATAAATACAGAGCCAAAACACGAAATAAAGGTAAGAAGGAAGAGAAAGTTGAAAAGGAAAAAGAGAAAAGGCAATAAAAGAAACTAAGAGGGAAGAAAAAGGGCAAAAACCCCCAAACAAACCCCTAAACTCCCAGAAAACCCAAGGAAGGAAAGACAAAAGTAATATAAAATTTAAAAATCAAAAAAAGAGACTGGGTCAAAGAAAAAATTCCTATGTTATTGATTGAATGGTTTCCTCCCAAGACCTGCAGTCTTCGGATCCAGCCAGTCATGATTTTCTATGCCTAGCTTTAGGGGCTATAGGCTTTTGAGGTGCCCTCGCTGTTCCAGAGGGCCCCTCTGTTCGTCCTCCCACATTATTGTTACTGTTCAAGCCAAGTTGTGTCCTTGCACCTATTAGTAGACGGGTAATGCGATCAGTCAGCCCTCTGGTCTCTGCTGGATGTAGCCCTAAGGGGGTGGGCGTTTGAGTGGACTGCTGGACTTAATGTCCACAGTTGAGGGGTGTGGTTGCTCCCTTCTCTTACCAGTTGTCCTCATCCAGGATTAGATCGGTCTGTTAGTCCTCACCTCCGCTTCTGGGGGAAGCAAAATGTAGGGCCAGCTTGGAGTTGGTGGGTGGTGGTGCCCTTGATTCCGTGGGTTGGGTACTCTGCTCCAGGGAGTATCTGCTTGCTTGTGTGGGGAAGGGGCGCCACTCCTCCCACATGGATCTCTTACTTTTGTGACTTTCTGAGATGAAAAGCAGAAGACTTCAGATTTTTCACTTCTCTCTAAGGTCGTTAGCCTCTTCCAAAGTCAGGTTGGTCAGTTGGTAGCCTCCTGCAGCCCAGGCCTGAGCTGTCCAGGGAGGATGGAGAAGCATCCACTGCAGGGCAAATCCCTTCTGGAAACACCTTAAGAGCTGACCTTCCTGATGTCTGTGGGTCCTCTTCACCTCCTTGTTTTAGGTTCAGTGCTGGTTCTCCAGAGACTCTCTGGGAAGGAGCAAAACCCAGGACACAGGAGTTGTGCATCCAAAGCACAACACACAGGCTTGCAGGAGGAAAATGACTATTATTTCTCTTTTGACTCCTCTTGACAGAATAGTTTCTCATACCTACCTTGTTTTCAGTGACCTGGATAGTTCTGAGGAGTTCTAGTCAAGTAGTTTATTGACTGTCCCTCTGTTGGGCTTGTTTGATGTTTTTCTCATGATGAGACTGACACTACAGGCTTTTGAAAAGACTACACAGGGAAATTGTCATTCTTATTATGTATCAAGGGTACATACCATCAATAGGATCACTGGAACACCTGGCTGAGGTAGTGTGTCTCAGGTCTCACTGGAAGGTTACTCTGATCTTCCCTGCCCCATTTCTATGTTGGACTCTTTAGAAAGAAGGAACTCTGCAGAGCCTGCATTCAAGGGCTGGGGAATGACACTCCACTTCCCTGAGAGAAGATTATCTGAATAAATTATTTGGAATTCTTCTGCAAAAGAAATTTAGCTTCTCCAGCATTTATTTATTTGTTCAAACATTTATATCACTCTGGACTGATAAGTATTTGTTTCTACACTTTGTCTTATAACCCCATACTACTTTATTGCTGAAGTTGTTTCAACTTTGGCTATTGGGAGCTCATCTAGTGGGCTCCTATACACCTGCAGCATGCTGTCAGTGTAGGTTCTTTGTTTGCTTGGTTGAGGTTTTTTTTTCCCCTTCCTTACTCCCTGATTTTATGGAGCATTACAGGCTCATCTTGTGTTATTCCTGGCTCAGCCCTATAATTAGTCATTTTCCAGGGAGTGCTGCTTCCTTTTATTGGAGGATGGTATTAGAAACAAATTTAGACTCTAGATGTTTTGTGTATTTTTTAAATCTCTTTTGAGCAACCCCATGTAAACTCTGATTTTATCTTTTCATTTTTTAGTAAGTCCGAAACAGTGAGTGAAGTATAGGGCTTAAAACTAAGAACTCAAGAGTCATGGGCCAGGGATTTAGCTCAGTGGTTTTGCCGCCTGCGCAAGGACCCGAGTTCAATCTCCAGTACCAAAAAAAAAAAGAGTCAGATCTCTTGGCTTCATCTCCTAGCTTTAGAAAGAATAGCGTCTGTGGACTTCATCCCTCGCTGCCTCAGCTTCCCCACCTATACAATGGAACTTGAAAAGTGTTTAATGGTGCCTGGCACCTAATCCATGCTCACATGTGAAGGGGATGACAGTAATTATTTGAGGCCAAAGAAAATCCTTCTGTATTCCATAACCCTGCAGGTAACAAAATTCATGGATGCTCAAGTCCCTTATATAAAATGGGTAGTATTTGCCTATAACCTATGCACACCTGTATACTTTAACATGTTCACAGTGGCCGTAATTCATATGTCTTGCTGCCAGGTGGCTTGAACCACCAGTGGTACATGCATGACTGTCCCTTCCGGCAGCCTTTTATTAATTTTATTAGTCAAAAGACTGATAAAAGCGATTAGATCTGTTTGTACCACCGGTGGTTCAGGCTGTCCAATGAGACAGTTATGCATGTGCCACCGGTGGTTTAAGCTGGTGGGAACATGTTAAATCATCTCTGAATGACTTATAATACATAACACAATGTAAATTCTTTGTACATAGTTGTTAAATTCAATTGTTCAGGGAACAGTGACAAAAGTCTGTTCATATTCAGTACGGATGCAATTTTTCTCCCAAATATTTTCCATCCATGGTTAATTGAATCCCCGGATGTGGAACTTGCAGATACAGAGGGCCAGTTCTACTAGTTCTATAGCTCAAGTCAAGTGACTTCCTTAAGGCAGTCAAATGGGGCTTCTCGGGTTCATTTGCCTTGTCATCCTCTGAACTATAAAGTTTTGTTTTAGTTTTGAACTAATGATGAGTGTGCCTGATGTGTCACTGGTTCCATGTGGAATATTAGTGCTTACCCGGGAGTTGCGGGCTCAGGAGCTCCTGGTGGGAATGGACAACATTTTAAATTAATACATTTATCAAGGTGTGTACTTTGAAGAGATTATCAAGTATTTTAAGAGTGATGTGTTGTATGGTTTTTAAGTTTCTTTTGGATGAGGAATAAAAAGCTGTTTGATATTAAGTTGAGCCCTTTCTTAATTTTCTCTTTAGTGGACTCATTGGACGAAGCTGGGCTATGCTGTTTGCCAGTGGAGGCTTCAAGGTGAAACTCTATGATATTGAGCAACAGCAGATAACAAACGCCCTGGAAAATATCAGGTGGGTCAGCTGGTGCCTTCCTGGAGGAATTAAATGGCACTATTTCTCTTGCTTGCTCTTTTCTATCACATACTCAAGGCTGTAAATATTTGTGATCACACATTTCATTTGATGGATTTTCCAGTGTCTGGACTTAGAAAGAGCAGGGCTAAGGTGGCTGGAACATGAATTCAGACTACTATAATTATCTACTATCCTCTTGATAAATACTGTAGCTTTTTCAAGTTTTGGGCTATTGTAAACAATGCTAACATGGTTATATTTATTTCTCCTCTTAAATAAGTTTAGGAGTTTCTACAGATCATACTTTGCAGTGAAACTGCTGGATTTGTTTCACCAGAAGAGATTCTGATGGCTTAGATTTTGGTTCATCTCTTTCGACTTTTCTATCTTTTAATCTCTTTATGTTTTCTTTCACCTTGTGTTTTTAGAAATATATTCTGGTTACATTTTTTAGATTTTTCTTCTAGTTCGTCAGTTCTCTTTTTAGTTGTATTTAATCTGCAGTTTAAGCGATTTACTGAGGTTATTTGAATTATTTGATTTTTTAAAAGTTTGATTTGCCTCTTCTCCAAATATAGTGTTTATTTACATAGTCTCTTCTGATTTACTTAGGCTTTGTTTTTCCTTGTTTTTCAAATCATTGAATAGTTAGTACACAGTTGTTTTGTATTGTATCTGACAATTCCAGTACTCGAGGTTGTCTTAGATCAGATTCATGACAATCAGATCCTGAAATGAGAATTCCTGGGCAAGTGATTTATTAAGGGAGCATTCCCAGGAGAAACCAATAAGGAAGTACTAACGATAGGATAAAGATGTGGAAGAAACCAGCTAAGGATGTGGCTTCAGAAGTCCAAGCCTCTGCATGTTTCCTTAGGAGTTCTGGAGGGTGTGCTTCGAAGTTGTTTCTCCTCAAGGCAAAGGAGCCAAGCCTTTGTGTTTTTATATCCACCGTTGACATTGCGTCTCCCTGGGTGGATATAAACTCCCAGGCATTTCCAGATCCCTGGTTTGGTCCAGAGAATATTCTGAGGAAAGGCGTACTCTGAGAAAGACTTTCAGCCTTTGGCAGTGTAGAACTATAACACCTGGTACTGGTGAGAAGGATCAGAGGGTTCTGGAGCACCAGTGGCCTTCACTATCACACTTTGCCACTAAATTGGGGGCTTTAAATTAAAATTTTATATTTTCCTGTATCTAAAAATACTAGCTGACCACCTACTATGTGCTGGGCATATTTAAGCACTGGGGATTAAGCACTAGACACAATAGAATTAAGATCTCTGACCATGAAGAACTCATTCAGTGGGGAAAGGAAGGGTGGAAGAGTAGGGAATACAAAACAAATCACTCAGATGCATGATATGTTAGAGAATGGGCTGACAAACCATGGCCAGGTGGTCAGATCTGGCCAGTGGTATTATGTATTGCCTTTTCAGTTTTTAGGCTTTTGGGTTTTTGAAAAGAGCTTTTAGTTTTTAGAGCACTTTTAGGTTTACAACAACAAAGAAATGTATAGAGATTTTCTACAGAACTTCTGTCCCAATAAGTACCTAAGTAGTATGTATTTATTGAATAGCACATTTGATATAATAGATGAAATTCCACTGACACATCATTGTCATTCAGACTCCACAGTTTGCATTAACAGTCACTCTTGACATAATGTTCTGTGGGTTTTGACAAGTTCATACCGACTTGTGTCCATTGTTGTACTGTAGTATCATATGGGACTTTGAGCCCCCTAAAACTCCTCTATACTCTTTCTAGTCATCCTTTCTGCTATGGCAATCATTATTTTTCTACTGTCTCCATAGTTTGACCTTTTCCAGAATGTCCTATAATTGGAATCATATCGCTCATATAGATTGGATTCTTTCACTTAGCAATGCATTTAAATTTCCTCCGTATGTTGTCGTGACTTGATAGTTCAGTTCATTTTGGTGTTCAGTCATATCATGTTGGCTAGAATACCCCATTTTATATATTCTACTGAGGGACACTGTGGTTGTTCTAATAGTTGGCAATTATGAATAAAGTTGCTATGGATATTTGTGTGCAGATCTTTGTGTGGACATGCTCTCAACACTTTTGAGTAAACCCTAAGGATCATAATTGCTATATTGAATGGAAAGAACATGTTTAGTTTTATAAAGAACCGCTGAACTGTCCTCCAAAGTGCCTGCACCATGTGCACTTTTACCAGCAATGAGTGAGAGTTCCAGGCGCTCCACACCCTTGCCAGCATTTGGTATTGTCATTGCTCTAGATTTTAATTAGTCTAGTATCTAGTTTTAATTTGCTAATGATATATTAGCAAATCTTTATATTTTCCTTGATTATTTGTGTGTGTGTGTGTGTGTGTGTGTGTGCACGTGCACGCACGCGCTGAGGATTGAACCTAGGACCTTGTGCATGCTAAGCATACACTGTATCATGGAGCTATACCCCAGCCCCAAGTTCTTCTGTTTTTAAATTTAAAAATGTTTTTGACCAAAGGAGGAACCTTGAAAATTTTCCTTACTTACTATGACTCCTTGATGCATAAAAACTATTCAAATTCGGGATCCTTCAGTGATTCTTGTTCACCATTGTGCTGAGAGTACAATGAAACAGCCAAAACCAGGCATGGTGGAGCATGCCTGTAACCCTAACACTAGTGGAGTCTGAAGCAGGAGATTTACAGGCTAGGCTCAAACTTAGTGAGATCCTGTCTCAGTAATGGGGTTGAATCCCCATTACTGAGAAGAAAAAAAAACCAAAAGCCAAAAGCCATACAGTCCTTCCTGTTGTAATTTAGGAAAATATATGCTGGTACCTTTGAAAGACTACTGATTAAATATGAAAAAGAAACTGTGAGGCAAAGGATTTCCTCAGGTCAAGTAGAGTGTTTAAAAAAGGTATCAAGATAGGAAACATGGTGATACAAACAGTTTAACATTTGGCTTAATGGAGATTCTTTAAGGAGCACTAGAAAATAATGTATCGATAGTCAAAAAAACCTTTAGGGGGAATAAAACTGTAAAGAACTTTAAGGAATTCATGGTATTCCTAAATAAGAAAAATTATATTTAGAGTTGTCTCTCAGACTCTCCCTACATGATACCAAAATCTGCAAATCCTGAAGTCCTTTATATGAGTTGGCATCATATTTGTGTAGAACCCCTGCAGTCCTCCTGTATATTTCACATCTCCTGTAGAGTACCTATGTAAGTATTTATTGTATTGTTTAGAGATTAATGACGAGAAAAGTCTGTACTTATTAAGTACAGATGAAAAAAAAACTTTTTCATTTATTTTCCATCTGTAGTTGGTTGAATCTGAGGATACAGAAGCCATAGACAGGGAGAAATATCTGTACTTTGTTAAAATTCATCTTTTCCTCCCACATTAAGTAGATTATAGTAAGAGCTTTGCAAATGCACTTTGGAAATGGTTGGTAACAAGTCCATGCCTCACGCCCTTGGATGGTGACCCTGGCTTGTCAGCAGGCCTGGCCCTTGCCCTGGGTTTCTGGTGAAGGTGTTTGTGGCCAGCAGGTCAGATCTCAGCCACATCAGCCTCAGAGCTGGCTCAGTATTGGAGGAGAGGGCAGCTAGGGAAGTGGAGACCGCCAGTCTCTGATTAGGGAGCTGGCAAACTTTCTGTAAAGCCAGAGAGTAAATCTTGTAGGCTTTGGGGGTTATATGATCTCTGTCTGAACTTCTGGTGTTGAGTGAAAGCAGTCACACATAACCTGTAAACAAACAGGCATATCTGTGTTCCAGTAAAACTAGTTTATGGCATAATAACTGTGCCTTCATGTAATTCTCACGTATCTCACATTAATCTTTTAATATTTAAAGACCATTTAAAATTGTAAGACCACCCCTCTCTCACGGGCTGTAGAAGAATAGGTAGTGGGCCAGGTTTGGCCGTGGGCAAATGGGCTTTTCAATTCTATCATTGTTTCATCTTTTAATTTGTGAAACCAGCTCCAACTCAGCTTTTCATTCGGGTTTTTTTGGGGGTACCGGGGATGAACTCAGGACCTTGTGCTTGTGAGGCAGGCACTAGAACCACTGAGCTAAATCCCCAGCCCTCCAACTCAACTTTAAAAAGAGAAAACTTCAAGATTCCTAAATTGAAAAGTCCTTCATTTTATTTCTTGGGGTATTTGTATTTTAGGCCTTATTTTTGGATATATTATTAAAGGGTTTGGTTACTTTTTAAAGTCCTTTTAGGCACCAAGGAGTCCATGAGAGATTTCTTTTTCTATCTTTTTTTTTTTTTTTGGCAGGGGGTGGCAGGTGCTAGTGATGGAACACAGAGCCTTAGGCATGATAAGTAAGTGCTCTGCCACTGAGCCACACCTCCAAATATATCTTTTTTCTTTTAAAAATGATGGGCCATGGATTTGGTTCAGTGGAGCCACTGCCCGCCGTGTAAGCACAAGGTCCTGAGTTCAATCCCCGGTACCAAAAAATAAATAAAATAAAAATGAGATTAAAGGCTTTCCTGTTATTCTATTTTGCTTAATTAAGAGCTATCTCTTAGTATTATTAGTGCCTAGTTATATTGAACTTTTACTTACAAGTCTAAGATTTTTGAACCAGAGAAACCAAAACAATTTACTACTATTAGCAGCCATATTATAGAAGGAATAAATGTACGGAATTGTTTATGTAACTGAGATTTTTAAAAGGGTACACACAAAATTTTCCTCAAGGGCATTACCTTTATTCTCATAACCCACATGCATTTGAGCTGAATTAATGTAAATAGGCAGAACTGGTTATACTTCTTTGGCAGGAAGGAGGGATCTTAGGTATCCTGTGACCTACCACTTCATTCTTCCCATATATTGCTAGCAAAGCACGTGGAGCTGTATCATATTGTCCCACCACACATACAAGGCACACTAAATTCTTGGTCTTGAGGGACTTTTAAGTAAAACTACCTGCGTCCTTTCTTTTCTTTTTTTTTTTTTTTGGTATGGGGGATTGAACTCAAGACCT